CATGGCAATACTCCTCAAGATCAGGTTTGATGGGGTCCACTAGTGAAAAACAATATTCACCAGTCCTTCCACAGATTCTTAGAATGGCATTGTCAAAATCCAGGCCTAAATCTAAGACGTTTCGTTTCTTGCTTGAAGACACTCCAGAGTAGTTTTGACTGGGCGTTTAGGGTGATCATGCTTAAACAAGAACCTCTGCCCCAGTCTATGATGGTGTTGTAGACAGAAAAATATTTTCCCTCTAGAATTTCTCTGGTTTAGCTCTATCCAGTTTGCCTTCAATCCTGACCAGTTTTTTAGTCCCTTTTGACAAGTTGTCTCACAACATGATCCAACTAAGACTGTGCATCAGCATAGTTATGGTACTCTTGTGATGAGTATATTTTGCTTTCCCCAACATTTTCAAGTTTACTTTCAACTTTGGAAAGTCCCAAATTGTATTTGACATACATGACCGGCTTGAACTGACACTCTTTTGTAAAGGAAATATTTATATAAAATGTTACAGGTAGGGCTTAATAATAAATGTTTATTATTTAGTATACATACACTACATGAATACACACATATTTAAGTAAATATCTATTTCATTCATATCCTGACTTATGCTCCTTATCTGACCAAATACCACTTCAGTAACCAAGAGCTTATGTGTGTTTATAAATCCTGACCTCATATATTAATGCACGACATCTGAAAATGTACTTGGGGACAGTATTTGACCTTCAAATTGTGCATGGTCTTTGTAGATACATGCTTCTTCTGATCAAATAGGTGTAAAAATGGACACAACACAGAGCAAGGGTAAATCAGGAAATGACCATACAAAATATTAACTCATTTATATTTATTACAAAGTAATGGACAACAAGGTTATTTTATGTTCAGTAATAATAATAAAAAGGCAAAATTCCTCTCAGTAAAAAAATAATTGTTGGTTAATGTTGTGCTACCCTGGAAGAGCATAGAGTATATATCCCTTTATGGGATCGTTCTGGTTCTGCTAACCATGACACCCAAAAGAACCCTTTTAGTTCCTCTCCTCTTGGTTATATTTGCTTTGCTTCACAAGATCTTAAGGGTGCACCCAGCCCAGAGCCCTCTACCTTATGCAATCAATTCCTAACCATACCTGTCTGCCGAAGGGTATACCCACTCTTTTTTTCAGTTGTTGATCTCTATGATTCAGCCTTCTCCTCCCAAATTCATGTAGAGTTGGGAGGATAACCTGGAGACTGTTTTCTTTTACGAACAGAGCTCTAAAATGTGTACCTTCCTTCATCACTCCTCTATAAGCTCCACTGTCCAGGAAACAAACTATAAACCATGGTCTCTGTGGTACCGCACACCTTATCTCTTACATAAGTGTACATAATACAATTTTGGCAACAAATTTATAGGACTATGACTTTTTATATTGGCAGAGAGTGTTAATTTCACACTGGCTGCTAACGTAATCACATCCCCATCCCAGTCCAATGTAGAGTAGTCTTTTACTAGACATTTTCTCAACGCAGCTAGGGAAAGCAAAATGTAGCTCCCAGCCTAGAACAATAGATTGCTAAAATGGAAGAGCTTAGGAACATGCAGGCCATGACTGCCCCTTCATGGTAGGGAAGAGACATTCCATAATATCTGGCTTCCTTGGCTGGATTTAATGGATCACCTTTGTGAAGAGTAGTAGGCAAGTTTCTCTTGGCTCCACCCTGGTCATTGTGGTCAGCATCATGGATTCTTTCTCCCTTTCAAATTACCCTGTCTACCCTCTTAGAGTTTTCTGTCTATCCTTATTTTACTACTCTCACTCTATTTGTTCATCTCTATTGATTTCCTCATCCCTCTCTGATTCCTCACTGATCATGTTCGAGCTTTTCTAGGATCTGATAACCCTCTTGGTAGTGGGAACTGATTTCACCCTTAACAAATGAATTTATCCCATAATAAATATGGTTTTGCCTGTTTGACAATTCGGTTAATTGCTTGTTCAGTTTACTCTGTATCATATAAATTGTCTGTTCAACTAACGTGGTGAGGTTTAAAGGGAACTACCGGATCCCCTTATATGGGACCCGGTCATCGGATGAATTAGAAACAGATGAAGAAAGAAGGAACGATTGGCCAAAAGGAAAAAGGGGGACATTTAAAAGAAGTCAGTTGTTGTAATACTGCAGCACTTTATTCATGCACATGCAAGCACTTTATATATACTCCTTAGAAAGTCTAGTTCAACTAGACGAAATGCGTTGAGTTATTTTCATTTTGAATTTAGCTTGTTTTATTTTGCATGCTGCTTGTTTCTTCGTTTTGTTCCTGGTACCTGTACTACTGTAATCTTGACGGGGGACCAAGGAGATTTATTGATGAGCATTTCTTGCATTTTTATCCTGTAAATGTAACCATTAAAGTGTCATTTAGATTTTTAACTCATATAGCACTATGGTTCTTTCACTTTTTCTATACATGACTGGCTAAAACTGCTGAATATTTCATCAAGACCTGGTGGAACTGACAACCTTGTGATGAGCCTGAACCTTCAGTCACTCTGTGAGTGCAATCTTTGATTTGGGGGATTGTTTTTATGCACAATATAGCCCTATGAGTGCTTTCTCTCTTGTGTACTTTTAGGTATATTTTGTTTTTTCCAAATTGTCTATAAGGATTGAGAGGAATCCTTTGATCATACCATACGAAAAAAAGGGGGTAAATTCCTTTTTTTATTTATTGTATTTTCTTGCACCTGGGTGGTCTATACAATTAAGTGTTTATATTTAAAGGGACACTATATTCACCAGAACAACTACAGCTTAATGTATTTGTTCTGGAGAGTAGAATAATTCCCCTCAGGTATTTTGCAGTAAACACTGTCTTTTCAGAGAACATGCAGTGTTTACATTACAGCCTAGTGATAACTCCACTGGCCACTCCTCAGATGGCTACTAGAGGTGCTTTCTAGGGCAGTGCTGCCATTCACTGTCTCCACCCTCTGCATGCAGACACTGAACTTTATTCATAGAGATGCATTGATTCAATGCATTTCTGTAAGGAGATGCCTATTGGCCAGGTCTGCGTTTGGCTTGTGCTGGCTTTTCCCCTGATCTACCTCCTTGACAATCTCAGCCAATCCTATGGGAAAGCATTGTGATTGGTTTAGAGAATCACTTCTGATGTCAGCCAAGCAGGCAGATCAGGGACAGAACCAGTAGCTGCAGACATAAAATAAATAAAAAATAAATAAGATTTTACTAGATTTAGAGAGGCAGGGAGGCTAGATTGGTTTTAACACTATAGGGTCAGGAATACATGTTCCTTTAATGTCCGATATCTGTAATTCTGGGCACTCTTATAATATTCCCAATCTTGCGTGCTTGCAGGACTCCTCAGGGGCGACTCCCTGCTTTTGGAACAGCCTGCCTACCCCATCATACTCTCCCGTTGTCTTCAATTGTTTAAGAAGTCCCTCAAAACACATCTGTTCAGAAATGCTTATGGATTTCCAGAGTAACTTATCTATACTTATCCAAATCTGTCTCTTGCTCTCCTAAAGAGCCACACTCCACTCTCACCTCCAGTTCTGCTACTTTCCACCTTGTTTGGTGGCTGTCACCTTTGCTGCCCTGTTGTGTATTTGTACCCCACCTCCTCTAGACTGTAAGCTCGTTTGAGCAGGGTCCTCATCTACCAATTGTTCCTGTGTCACTGTGTAATTGTCCCGTTTATTGTAAATTTGACCTCCTTTCATAATATTGTAAAGCGCTGCGGAATTAGTTGGCGCTATATAAATACCAATAATAATCTGTTATGGTCATTATCACATAAATAAAGATGGTAAAAAGATAAAAATAAAATAAGGGTGTACCCAGGCACATTCTAATGCAATGAAAAGTGCTGTGGACGCTTACATCGTTAATTACCCACACGGCAAGTCTGGCGTATCGTTCTATATGGTAGGAGAAATACAGTATACAAGCTATCAATATATAAATAATTCATATATAATGTTTTTGTGCAAAGTGCCTGGGGATTTCTAGGCTACATTTGATCTTTACACATTTAGGACAAATGCTCCTACTTTCTGCATTTCATGGACCAAGTGAGTTTTCTTCCCTAACAACCAGGTTTTGCAGCATATATTGCATAATTTTCTTGCAATTTACTACAGATTCATTATACAAAAATGTATTTTCATTTTTTGGCATAATAGGGAAATGTTTATTTTTTATTTTATATAACATCCGTAGCAAAAACAGATGTGCGAAAGCCTGAACTTTACTTTAACTTTTTCTTCAAGCTATATTACTATGTAACTGGTGTTTTGATTATTTTAGGTTTTATTAACCCCTTAAGACCGGAGGGTGTACTATTACGCCCTATTTTAAGCGGCTCTAAATGCCGCCGGGCGTAATAGTACGCCCTCCGGTCTTTCTGTACTTACCCGGTCGCCGGCGATCGCGGTTGGGGGGACTCCCAGGGAGCCCCCCGCAGCACGTCCGATCCCCTTGAAGCCCCCCGGCCATGTGAGAGTGAGGTCCTTGCCATGTGAGAGTGAGGTAATGACAGGTGGTCCCCCTGCTGGCTGAAAATAAAATAAATAAAAGTTAATCGAAAAAAAATAATATATACTTAGATCATATATATATATGATCTAAGTATATATATATACACATATACATACACACACGTACACTGTATAGGTGTATTTTACTATTAATATATATATATATATATAATTTTATATATATATATATATATATTAATATCAAATTACACGTAGACTGATACTGATTAAATATATATATAATATAAAAAAATTTAATATGTAAATACGTTAAAAAATAAAATTTAAAAAAATAATTAAATATATAGATGTGTTATTTCGTTCTAACTGTTTTGTGATACTAATATATATATATTTATATCAAAATACACGTAGAACGGGGGGGGGGGGCTTGCTACCCGACATGAACGGAAGCCATTTTCCACAGCTCCCAAATCCTGCGGACAAAATCCATTAAAATCAGTCTTTCTCTGACCCATCCAACCTCGCCACACGCACTATCGGCATCAGCACAACGGGCCGCATCTCCCGATGCCTTTTTTCCAACCGCAGCGGCAAGAGAAACGGAGACGCAAAATCGGGGCCTACTATACCCCAACGAGCCTGGGCCTCGAGGACCTGTTGAGTGGATACCCAGCCGAGCACACAGACACCTCCTGCGCCCCGGACCCATCCACAGCTCTGACTCATATGCCGGCAATGGGACGCCGATCACAAAGGCCACAAGGTACGGCTGGGGGCAGGGATATTGGGACTATGCTCCAAAAGCCTACCCAGCCCAAACCCAAACCAGCGGCAGAAACGCTGGAGGCTACCCTGGCACCTACCACACCCCAACAACGGCAAGAACCACCGGGGCCCCCACAGACCCCCAAAACAGGATTACAGGGGCCAGAACTTACTGGGCAGCACCAAAATCAGCAGCCGCACACCCGGGCACCACAAGGCCCGGACTCCCAGGGACCCCCATGGGCAATACAGCCTGAAAGGGTACACAACCCACTACAAACCAGACCTGACGTACAAGGGCACTTACAAGCACCACTACAGCCACTGCTGGAGTCCCCGGATGACTCTGCACCAACCACCAAACGTGACTTAAAGCTCCTTCTAGCAGACATCCATAAGCTCCTAGCAGCTGACTCAGCCCTCTTGAGGACCGAACTGCGCACGGTCACGGAAAAGGTGAACACAACGGAGGCAGAAGTAGTGACGGTACATGCTCACATAAACACGATGGAAGACTCCATCAAACAAATCCAGCAACAACAAACATACCTGTCACTCAAAATGTAAACCATGGAAGATCGACAGCGCCGCTCACACACAAAAATCAGGGGCATCCCTGCAGAGATATCGGCCGAAGAGCTGCCGCATTACACCAGACGTCTACTAGCTACAGTACTCCCACACACAGCAGTAAAGAAAATGATCATAGATGGGGTATACCGCTTGCCTACCCCTCCCCACCTAAAGACCCCAACTGCCAGAGACGTCATCCACAGATGTGTCACAGTACAAGACAAACTACATATAATGGCCGGGCTGAAAGGCAAGACACCGCTGCTGTTTGAGAACTCTTCCCTGACGTTCTTCCAGGACCTATCAAAAGCCACCCTCATGTGGCGCAAATCGTATGGACCACTCACCACACAACTCCGAGCAGCGGGAATTGCATACAAGTGGGGCACTAACGGGACTCTGGAAGTAACCCCAGAAGGCACTACCCATGTCCTAACCTCCGTGGAAGAAGCACCCATTCTCCTAACCGCTTTGAAACTACCCAACCCGATGCTTCCACCACGAAAAAGCCCGCAAATGGAAGTACAGGACCCCAGGAACAACGCCCAGTCGGAACCGAGACCCAGCGGATCACAACACCCTGTACCATGACTGAAGTGGACTGACACCGCAGGCTTTGCCACCGGGACTGGTGCACACATATTTTGATTTCACTCCGTGACTTTATTTACGTTTTATATTATTTACTATTTAGCCTCCGCTAACAATTTCCAAACACCACAGGCCATTGCTGCACTCACCCTCTCTACGCCAATGAGAGCCAACATATCACACATCCAACCACAGGGCGCCTGACAAATCACACCCCCCCACCCCCCGCAGCCCCCTTGGTTAGGGGTAATCAACCCAAAACACGCTAACCACGACAAACAGCTCACCTCCACTAACGCATGCAGACACCTATACTCAGCACAACACAGCGAGTCTGACCATGAAACATGGAACTGACGCAACCTTGCTACTACACGACTCGAACACCTACTCAATCCTCACATAGGGTCCCATCACCACCAGACCTACTCTAGACGGGAGCTACTGATTTACAGCAAAGTCCTATCCCAACACAAGAACGCACAAAACATCATAACACCTAGGTAATGAATACTGTTTTGTTTTAACATGTTACTGTTTAAAAAATTTTTGCTATTGCTCGACCCAAAACGGTGCAAACCACGAACGGTACCGAACCTCAACTTTTTAACAGTCTGTACAATCTAAATGTCGCACCAAAAGTGAAAAATAAAGAATTATAAAAAAAATTTTAAAAAAATACACGTAGAACGAAATAATATATATATCTATATACATAAATATATACGTATATATCACTAAATATTGATTTGGGATTCCTGTCCCACTACCAACACTTTACATGAACACTCTCCCAGTGTTCATGTGTACCAACACTTTAAAATGCATTCCTATATGCTTATTCTATCTATATACAAAGTACCATGTGTAGACCTATGCTTTCCCATACGCGTATGCATGAATGCTTATATATATTACTGTGCATTTATATTTGTGTATATGAGTCCATGTGCATGTATGTATATGTGTTTATGTATATGTATATATACATGTGTTTATGCGTTCACATATACATATTTCTGTGTGTGTGCATGTATAAAGTGTATCATCCTGTGCACTGTCTGCTTGTTTGTTTTTCTTTTCCCTCTCTCCCCCCTACTCTTCTCTTCAACAAGATATTTATGACCCTCTGCTAAGATGGTGTCTATTTTCTAACAAACCTGTGTCTTATCTACACTCATGTCGCTTTAACCCCTGTATCACAACTCAACTTTGAATTCTATGTGTCGTTTTGCTCAGAAATGCTTCAGACTTGAGAAAGGGAGGTTCTCCCGAAAGCTTGTCATTAAAAAACTCTGTTAGTCCAATAAAAAAGGTATTACAAGATAAGAATTTTATCTGTTTTTTTACGTATATATCACTATATATATACCTATATATAAATAAAAATATTAAAAAAATTATATATATATATACATATATATTCACATACGTATATATATATTAATTCTACATATATATTTATGTAATAATTTTACATAATTGGGTATCTTAATTAATTACAATTAGCAGGACCTGTCTGACAACCCATGCCGAAAGTAAAGGGAATTTAATTTGCTAGCACTATATTTAACCCTATAACTTTCAAAGACACCATAAAACCTGTAAATGGGGGGTACTGTTCTACTCGGGGGACTTCGCTGAACACAAATATTAGTGTTTCGAAACAGTAAAATGTATTACAACGATGATATCGCCAGAAAAAGTAGCGTTTTTTGCATTTTTCACGCACAAACAGCACTTACACGGACGATATTATTCCTGCGATACTTTTTACTGCTTTGAAACAAATATTTGTGTTCAGCGAAGTCTCCCAAGTACAACAGTACCCCTCATGTACAGGTTTTATGGTTTTTTTCAAAAGTTACAGCGTCAAATATAAGGCTTGCGTTTCATTTTTTCACATTAAAATTCGCCAGATTGGTTACGGTGCGTTTGAGACCCTATGGTAGCCCAAGAATGAAAATTACCCCTATGATGGCATACCATTTGCAATAGTAGACAACCCAAGGTATTGCAAACAGGGTATGTCCAGTCTTTTTAGTAGCCACTTAGTCACAAACACTGGCCAAAATTGGCGTTTTTTGCATTTTTCACACAAACAAATACTAACGCTAACTTTGGCCAGTGTTTGTGGCCAAATGGCTACTACAAAAGACTGGACATACCCCATTTTCAATACCTTGGGTTGTCTACTATTGCAAATGGTATGCCATTATGGGTGTAAATTTCATTCCTGGGCTCTATAAAGTCCCAAAGGCAACGTAACCAATCTGGCGAATTTCAATTTCAAATGTAACGTGCTATATTTGACCCTGTAACTTCCCAAAACGCCATAAAACCTGTACATAGGGGATACTGTTTTACACGTGAGACTTTGCTGAATACAAATATGTGTATTTTATTGCAGTAAAAAAGAAAACAGTATTATGACATTGACCTTTAAAATGTCATGTAGAACTAAAAAAAAATTTTAAAAATCTTATTTTCTCCCTTTTTTTTCATATTAAATTATGTTTCATAGCTAAATATTTGATATTAAATGAAAGCCCTGATTCCTCTGAATAAAATGATATATAATAAGGGTGGGTGCATTTAATATGAAAGAGGTGAATTACGGTTGGTCAGACATGTAGCACAAATACCAGGTTTTGTTTACATTTTGTTTCGTTCACAACGTGTACATTTGGCTCCGTCCTTAACCCCTTCAGGACGGGTGACGGACGAGGTCCGTCACACAGGGGAGACCCTTAACGACGGGTGACGGACCTCGTCCGTCACGCGGTAAAATTAACCCCGGATCGCCGCTATCGCGGCGATCGCGGGGTTAATGGTGCTCCCGGTATGCCTCTGCATTGGAGGCATACCGGGAGCACCCGGTCAAGCTGCCCAGCACATGTGCTCACTCTGACCGCAAGTCAGAGTGAGCACATGTGCTCTGTATACTTACCTACCGGCTCCCTGCACTTCCGGGTTCTGTGTGAAGTGCAGGGAGCCGGATCAGTGCTGATCCTGCCCCCTGCTGTTAAAAAAAATAAAGTTTATTTAAAGTGTCCCCCCCTTACCCATTTTAATAAAAAATTAACCCCTTCCCTGCCAATTGATCACTGACTACAGTGATCAATTGGCAGGGATTACATTTTACTATGATCTGATTTTTTTTTTTAACCCCTGAGGGTTAATTCTTTTTTTTTTTAACCCTCAGGGGTTAAATTAATTAAATTAATTAATTAAATTATTTTTTAATTATATATTTAGATAGCTGGGGTAGGTGGAAGTTAGTGGGGAATTGGGGGATTTGGCGTTAGGCTAACTAGGGGTTAACGTTAAAAAAAAGTTTTAAAAGAAACTTTAAAAAGTTAAAAATTAAGCTTAAAAAAATGTTTTAATAACATTTAAGTAATAAAAACAAAAAAAACACACTTTACCTAGTCCAAATAAAAATTAACCCCTTCCCTGCCAGTCGATCACTGCCTACAGCGATCAAATAGAGATCACAGTATTATACTGTGATCTAATTTTTTTTAACCCCTGAGGATTAACTTTTATTTATTTTTTTAACCCTCAGGGGTTCAATTTATTTAATTAATTAATTTAAATATTTTATAACTATATATTTTGCTAGCTGGGGTGGGTGGGAGTTATGGGAAAATGGGGAATTTACTGTTAGTGCTGCGTACTGCTAGTTAGGGGTTAACAGTAAAAAAAATAGCTTAGAAAAATGTTAAATCTGTAAAAAAGTTTTAAGAAAGTTTAGGAAAGTTTAAAAAAAATTTATAAGCAAAACAAAAGTTTAAAAACTAGTTTTTAAAAGTAAAAACACCACAAAAGGGAACCTCACCAGGGTGTTAGAGTCTCTTACACAGTTGCACGTAGCACACATTGGGTCACTGTTATTTATCTTTTTAAAAGTAAAAAAGTTATAAAAAGTAAAAAAATACATTTTAAAAACGCTCATTACCACTACACCTGGAACAAACTAGAGAAAAAATTATCCCACGCCAAGGTTCAAAATATGCCTTTTGAATTACCCCAGGGTGTATTCTTTAATAAATAGTATGTGTTTGTGGGGAAGTTTCAATAACCAACCGTCTAAACTACTCCAAATTGGAACATGGACACAGCGTAAAACTTCAAAGTTAGAAAAAAACTGAATGGCTGCGTCTCAAATGCGCCCCTTCAACATCCACATATACCTGGCAAAGGTACATACGGGGGTATTGCTGTACTCAGCCGACATAGCTGAGCAACATATGAAGTATTATACAGTCATAGTACACATAAGGTTTGCAAAATATGCTGCGCAAACTCACTTTGTATGTCAAAAAGGCAGAAAAAATGCTTATTACCACTACACTTGGTACAAGCTAGCGGAAAAATGATCCCACGCTGAGGTTCAAAATATGCCTTTTTGAAATACCCTGGGATGTCTTCTTTAAGAAATGGTATGGCTTTATGGGGAATTTGGATTATATAGCCTGGTAAAATACTCTAAAATGGGACATAGGCACAGCATAAAAATTCAAAGTTTGAAAAAAACTGGAATGGCTGTGTCCCAAATGTGCCCCTCCGATGTCCACACATACCTGGCAAAGGTACATACGGGGGTATTGCTGTACTCAGCCGACATAGCTGAGCAACATATGAAGTATTATACAGTCGTAGCACACATAAGGTTTGCAAAATATACTGTGCAAACTCACTTTGTATGTCAAAAAGGCAGAAAAAACGCTTATTACCACTACATCTGGTACAAGCTAGCGGAAAAATGATCCCACGCTAAGGTTCAAACTATACCTTTTGAAACACCCTGGGGTGTCTACTTTAAGAAATGGTAGGCCTTTGT